TGCAAAGATGTGTTCAGTAAATAATAATAAAATAATTATATATGAAACCATAAAATTTTCAACATGAATTCAACAATTTTGAATTTATTATAGCTAAAATACATGAGCAAATTTTTCCTTTATCGCAAAAATTTATGCAATTTTATTTATATTTAATTATTATTTGTTTTGCTAAACCCATAAATTAATTTGCTCAAAGTAAATTAGTTTCACAGGATAAAAATTATATTGTGTGTACTTTTAGAACTCTATTAATTATTTTTTTTATGAATATACACTACTGAATGTGTATATATGTGCATTTTAGCTAAAACAGTTTATAAATATATTCGATTATTTTTAATTATTTGTGTTTTTTTGTGTATAAATATGAGACTAAAAATAGTGGTTTTATAATGCACAAAATATTTTATAATTTGTGAGTTCTTTTATAGTGTAGCATCATAAAAATATCTTTATATTTTAGTTATTTTATACATTATTTTTTATTGGTGTACTTGAATAAATACGTCATTCTCTTAATTGATATATATTTGAGTTCAATTTCCTTGGGACAAACCGAACATACTTATATATTCTTCTATACTTATGTATATCTTAATGTAAGTTATTTTTTCTATACATGTTAAAATAATGCACTAGATTTTTTTTATTAAAATTATTTCTTTACATATTACTACAAAATATATATATTCAAAGAGAGAGTTATGCATTCAATTATGAACTACAAAATTTGGCGTGTTTAATTATGCATTAAAATTTTTTTATTATAATTTTATATAACGCTACATTTATGTATATATAAGGTCTTAGTTCGTTATTTAATATTATAGAAATCACTTATGTGAATAATATTAATGAGTTAATGTTTTACTACTGTCTATATATTTAAGTTATTACATTCAATGATATTTCCAATCACTTTGATAAACTGTGTTATTGTATGATACTTGGCCAATATAAATAATTTCAGAAATCTCTTTTATTCGCAATTTCAGTGTTAAAATATATAAATAATCCTGTTCTACAAAACACATTTTATATCAACATATCATTTATTACATAATGTACTATATTTTATTGCCATTTATTTTATATATCTGTTAAGTGTATTATGCAAAAATTATTTGCTGCATTGTATATATAGTTTTTTAGTTATTTGTTTGACCAATGTAAGTTAGAACCTATTTATTTGTTTGTATTATACATTTCAGAACACCTTTATTTATTATTCTGACATATTTACATGAAACAACTTGATTAAATAAATGATAAATATTAAATCTGAAAAAAATTATAAAAGGTGCTCATATAAAATAGATATATTTTAGAAAATACTTACGAATAGTTTTAGTATAATATTAGCATGTACCACATAAAATAATATTTACCAATGATCTAAATTATTAAATGTATCGATGTACACTTAGCAAAATATTAAATTACTGTAATTCATGCTTTTAAGGAAGTCTTCACAAAAAAAGTAATATATATAATTAAATATAAGAAAAGCTTGGGGATAATTGTTGTACATGGTTTTATATAAGACATATAGTATGCCATTTTTTAGCACATATATTTATAATTCACTTTCTAGTATTTATGTGTTCAATTAGATTTATTAATTTATGGATATATATAGGACAAAAAATATGAGTATTGTCATCAGTGGTTATATCGTATACTAATTTAAATTTATATAAGACAAAGGAAAAAAATTCCATTTACGCATAATTTTATTTTTAGTGATTTCTGTAAAAGTATATTTTTTTGCATAAATTCAAAACATTCATTTTTTATAAGAATATTCTAATTTTTTTCTTTTTGTGTTCCATTTTGAGAATGTAATTTTAAAAGACCTACCTTTACATAATCCATATGAGAAATTCAATAATAATGTGGATGATAATAAAATAAAAGTAAAATATTAAAATAAAGCAACTGATTCTATCATTTCTAACAATGAATAACATGACTTATATATTAGAACTAAAATGCATTTAATTGAAATAAAAGATAATATACTATATAAGTATTAATGTTAACATGTCCTTAACTGAAAATATGAAAAAGGATGGTCAGCCAAAAATAACTTTAATTATCTTACATCTCTGTTTTAACATCTTAATAAAGTAAACACATGACTTACTTGATATACACCAAATGTCTACTTGCCCACATTTTTATTGTGAGCCACATATTTTGTAATATCTGGTTGAAGAAACATTTCTTCATGATTTTATAATACATTTTGGCAATATTTTAGGAAATTACTTTTCCAGAATGGATAAAATGTGTATATTCGCAGATACATTACTATAATAACAACTATATAGCCAAAACAGAATATTCATTACATTTCATTGATATCTAATACGTGTTTAAAATACTTTTTATGTGATGAGATGTGTAATGCAGATAATTTTTGTTCATTGTTAACATGCAATTAAGACAATTCATCCTATGTAAAGATAAAATGTATTAAAATATGTGATTATTATAATATAAATTTTTAATAAGCTTGTTTGATGTTTTTCTATTCTTTCTATTTTTATTCTTATATAAAGGCTGTTAACATTAGTCAAGTATTGCTATTGGGTAATGTAAAACGAAAAATAAAAGAATACATTAATTTATTATATTTTTTATTAAACGAAGGTTTTATGAAAAATGAGATGGTGAATTATATATTCAATCTATATTTTCAATAAACGAGTTGTATTTAATACATAGAATTTAATTATTTCGTCGAATATGAAAATAAAGTGTAAGTAAAAAGAGACATATTTGCTACACAATTCCATAAATGTTTCTCCTTTAAATAATAATATATATTTAAAGAAGGATTTTAATAATGATTATAAGTAAAAAATGAATAAAATAAAAAGATATATTTTACACAAAATTGATAAATAATTTCCTAAGAAACAAATAGTCCTTTATTCACGAATTTACGAAATAACAATTAATTTCATTGTGTTTCATCAAATGTCTAACTATTTGAATAAGATACTGTAATAGTTAATATATGGATCTACAATTATATAAATTATTTAACATTCTAAATTTAAATAAAATGTTATAACACAGTGATGTGACTGAAAAGGGCAAGGATTTATCATTCTTTATAATTATCTAAATTCTTCTACATAAAATGATATCCAATTTTATTAAGATTACAAAAAAACAGACTATATAAAATGTTTGATTAAATTTGATCTCAAAAAATGATAAAATAATTTTTCAATATTACATAGATTTTCTTACTAATAATCATAAATGTGGTTAAAAACGGTTTCGTAATGTGTAATTATTATATAGGTTAGGTTAATATGTTTCAAATTATACGTACACTTTTTTATCATATTAGAAATACATAAAATTTTATCAATTTTTATACAATCTTGAAATGATGAGGCTTATCCTCCAACAAAATAAATGTTCCAAATTGTATGACAACATGTATTTATTCTATAATGTTATTAAAAAAAAAAAAAAAAACATATATGATTTGAGGATAAGAATAAATGAAAAATAGAGCAAAAATTTAAGTTGATTCATATGCTTTAAAATGTGTGAAATATTGATGGAACTGCCTCACTTTGTAATTATAATTTTTAGAAATCCTTGGAACAATGCAATTTTTAGTATAAAAATGTTCTAACAATATATTTTTTAAAACATTTTTTAAGGACATTTTTTATATAATATGCAAGCTAGTTTTTATTTTTTTCTTTCTCATATTTCTTTTTATAAGTTATAGATGTACATAACAAGGTTTGCACTATAAGTATTTAGTAATAGTATAGAGCAGTTTTGAGGCACAAAATAATTTACAACACCGCAACAGTGCTATTATTCCGCACAAACCTTTAATAACAACAATGTTTGAAATTTCATTTAAAGAATATTCAAAAAACCTAATAAATTATTTTATAAATAATTCAACAAAGAAATTAAGAATATCTTCATTAATTTATGATTGGCACTATAATACAATTATTAAATACGTAAATAATTAGTGTGTTGCTTATATTGTTATATATAGTGTGAACCTTTTTTGATTTTATCTTATAATAATTAAAAATAGTACTTTTCTACATAAATAGTGTTAAAAAAAAGTGGTCGAATATATTAGTAAATAATAATGCCTACTGATGTGTAGCTCTTTAAATTCCCAAAAAAATGTAAAATATTTCCTAAATATATTGATAGATTATTATATATTTTGGCATTTTATATATTAATATATAAAATTCGACAACATTTATAATTTCACACATATAATTATGCTAAAATAAGATGACGAAGACAATAGATACGCCTAGTTTGGTAAACATACACACATAAATTACTCATTATGAACTAATATTTACACAAGTTCTTTATCATGTAACGCAGGTGTATATATGTTGTACAAACTTAATTTTAGTACTTACACTATGACTCTTCAACCGTTATTTTTAGGAGAAAGTTTCAAAGGAATTAGAGCTTAATGAAATGTTTAAAGAATTTTTTACAAACCAAGAAATATCTAATTCTCATAGTTATTGTAAAGAATTAGAAAAGTATAATAGCCTCCATGGTGGAGTCAGCAATCTGTGTAGCAAACTAGTAGGATTTTTAGAAAGAATCCCTCAAACAATTGATGGCACTATGCGTAATAATTATTGTGAATACTTAACTTATTGGATGCATGATAAAGTACGTGAAATATATACAGGCACTTCAGAAAAAACCGGTGATATACCATTTTTTAAAGGTCTTATTGATGTGATGGATAAGGTTAATGATCAAATTAAAGAAAATAAGTGTAAAATACAATATGATTATAAAATTAGTTTAGATGAATGGAGAAATAGGAAATTTTCTTATATTTACTTAAAAAAATATAACGATATTAAAAAAATTATTAATGGTGAAGCTATAGCTAAATGTAATATGTATAATACATACCTGAATAAAATTAAAACATTATATACAACGTATAGGATTAATAAGTGCTCAGGTTTCTGGATTTTTTATTCTATTCCTAATTACGCTGATTGTTATTCTAATCATAAACCACATGAACTCATATCTATATTAAATAATTGTAAAGGTAAAGGACACACAGCTGCTATCGGTGCAAATGAGGGACATTTGGAAAATGGGAATGCTCAAGTAAGTGGGCAACATGAAAAAGCTAAAAGTCAACCTGTTCCAGGTCTAGAAGGTTTATCAAGTTCATCAGATTTACCACGTTTATCAGATTCAACAGGTCAATCACATTCTCCAGGTCAACAAGATACAGTTGGAGAATCACATTCACCAAAGCCAGAAGAAACAGGTTATTATTTACAAGTTTTATCAGATTCAAGCAAATTAACATTAGAAGCTTCAGGAGCAGAAGAACCCGTAGATCATAGATATTCTAATTATTCTCAAACAGGACATTATAATCCACAAGAGAATTATGATCACCACCATGCTGCTTCTACAAGCATTCTTATACCATATGAGGGTATCACCAATTTTTCTAATTTTGTTCAAAGAATATATGACATATTGAATTCAAATAAACTTCGTCACGTAATCATGGGTGCTTCAATAGTTGTAGTAGCCATCTTCCTCATATTTTACTTTTTAGTAACTAAGATCTCTATTTTAAAGGATAACAATCTTTTGATGATATTGGCGCTTTCTATTTATGAATGTAATTATGAA